TAAAATAGCACTCAAATTTTTAAAAAAAAAAAAAAAAAAAAAAAAAAAAAAGCAAGCCTATTTGCACCCAAAATGCTCCCTGCAAGGCTGCCTGGTGCTGCTTCTCCTCATCGTCTCTCACGGGGATATATTTAAGGGTCTCCGGCCCCTGGATGTATAGGGATGTACAGGAATGTACAGGTCCAAATGAATTAAATGCCGCAGGAGCAGGTGGCGGCGGACAGAGTGGCTGGCGCGACAAGCGGGCTGCGGGCGGGATCAGCACCACGTTTCCCACCTCTGCCCTGCACAAGCAACACCAGTTACGCAAGATCGCCTCGGAGGGCATTAATCTCCATTATTCTGACTGACCACACGTGTGCTCATGCTCGCAGTGTTTGCTCCAATGGACGCTTTCGTTTGAAATAGGTAAAACAGCATCAGGCTTTGGGGCATCAGGAGTACGAGGAGCCTTGTTATTTGGCTCCTTACGTCCTTTCAGAGAGATGATTCCTGGCTGGCGCTCCCCCCTCCCTGCCTCAGCCACCTCCTGAGCCATTAAAGCATCAGCATGTTCATGAGAACCTTGAGCTGCAAAGGGAACAACCACAGAGGGACCAGGGGTCTCCCCATCCTCCGCACTGGGCATGGTGCTGCTTGTAACACCCTCAGACCTAATCAAAATAAAGAGGAACGCTGGATCTGTGATGATTTCAATTGTATTTAGTCTTTTAGTTTAACTTTTGGGGTAGCAGAGCCAGCTTGAAGCTCGGCTCGTGGCTGGTCCCCAGCTACGATGCTCGCAGTGGGAGAGGCAGACAGTAGAGGCTGAGTCAAAAACTCATTTCTTGTCAGAAAAACCAGCCGTTCAAGGCAGTGAGCTTTACGAGCTGTCACAGCTCAGAGTCAATTTCTCCTTTGCTAAAGGGAGTTAATCTTTGTGCATGGGAGCTCTGAAAGGGGGAAAAGAAAGTAAATGCCTCCCATACGGAGCGAGCTCTGTGTCTGTGGCCAGGTTGTTCCAGGGAAGGAAAGAAAAAAAGGAGCCTGGCTTCTCCCGTCCAGCCCCACAAAACGTCTGCTCCAGAAACATGATCAGAACAGGGAGAGCCCAATGGGACTGGAGCTCCTCATCCTCCCATGTCAGCTGGGACCACCCTGGCCTCAGCAAACCCTCCGTATTAATTTCCTTCCCCCCGCCACCAGCAGCAGCCCTCTAGCCGCAGGGAAGGAAAAGACAAGGCTCCATTCTGCAGCAGATGCGATAAAACCCACGAAAATGACGATCAACGTTGGAATAACAAGGCCAAAGAAACTGCCGAGCACCTACATCAGTGCCCAAAACACTTAGCAACGGATGCCATCGAGGGAAGATGTCCCTGCTACTGATACTTTTGAGACAAGGCAGAGCCGCGGTTTTGGCAGCTGGCACATCCCAGAGTGGCTTGGACACTGCAATGGATGCAGAAAGGTCGGAGGAGAACACAGAGCCCCAAACCCCTGTGGGAGTTTGCTCCCTCGATCCTCCCCCAGCTGCTGGCTGAGCAGCACCATGTCTCGCAGGGATGCGTTTGCCAACATGACTAAGAAAACAGAGCGCAGGCTATATTCGAGTGGTCGCTCCATCATTGCCTGGCTGCTCCCATGGCTTGAGGTTTTCCAGTCAACCCTCCCAGCCAGCAGCTCTGGCAGAGCCACCGCCGGGGCCATGCCAAGGTGAGCTTGTAGCAGCATCCATGGGCAGACAGTGAACCACTGCTCTCCCAGCTCCTCTCCATCCCGTCCAGCCTCTGGATGGATGCAACTGCATCCCACCGTGATGCATGGCCACCTACAACCTCTACAGTGCCAGCAGCTCCTTGCTAGGGAGAAGAAAGCAGGGCTGCTCTGGGGCAGGCTCACCCCTCCAGCCCCCCAGCCCCAGAGGGACCAGCACTCACTTTCCACTGTAGCACCTTCATTAGGGTTAGAGTAACCTTCTCCCTTCCTCTTGATCCTCCGGATTATCCCTCCATCCTCAAACAAGTCCTCACCTTTGAAGTCAAGCAATTCAACCTAAAAGAAAAATTAATAAAAATAATAAAGAAAAGGGGGGCAGAGCTCGGGAGGGGGGAAGGAGAGGAGAAAAACAACAGAAAAGCCACAAAGCAGCAGTTCATCCTCTGGCTGGAAAGCCAAGCCAGCTAATTCTCCACTCAGCTGACAAGCAGAAGTTGGCCATAAAAGCCAGCTCCAAGCCACAGCATAATACACCCGATTTATTAGAAATTGGGACACATCCAGTACCTGAAGCATAACACAAAGTAACAGTAAAAATAAGTTTATTAAGCCTGTAAGGGTACAACACGGCCGGTGCTGGAAGATGCTGTGAAAGCTGCCCGGGACCAGCGCAGGCAGGAGTTTCCCCTTCATTCTGCAACAGGACCAGCTCTGACCCACAGCTTAGTCCCCACTCAGCTTGGAAGGACTAGGCCTTAATTTAGGACAGACCCATTCCTCCTGCCCCATTGCGTTGGTCCAATGAGCCCTGCCCAGCAAGCGCACCATGCAAAAACCTTGAGTTTCTTCCACCCTATGGCACTCATGGGTTTTTAGCACCCAGAGGCATTTCCCAGCCGCTTTCTCCTTCCCATGTGCATTTTTAAACCGGGAATCTGCCCACTCCCTCCCCTTCCCGGGACTAGGGCTCTCACCAGCTGGAGTTTCAGTCCCAGCCTCACAGCTCAGACACACATTTCTGAGAAAACCCTGGCAGCGGTTCCTGGAGCAAAGGGACACGTTTCAGGAATCCAAGCTGGTTTTTCTGTTGGGTTGTTTTTTTTTTATTTCTGAGCTGGCTGGCAAGTCAGAAAGGGAGCAAGTGAGCTCATCCACGTGCTGGCTCACTGGCATTACTTGCCTCGAAAAAGAGGGTCGCGTTGGAGGGGATTTTGGGGGCATTTCCAGCAGAGCCGTATGCGTACTCAGGTTTGCAGAGCAAGTAGCAGATCTCTCCCTTCTTCATGGTAGCCACCCCGATGTCCCATGCCTTGATTACCTGACCTAGGAGAGAGGCAGATGTCAGGCAGGAGGGAGCAACCAGCAGCCCAGAAAAAAACAGCCTGGGTGCTGCGAGGATGGCACCCCAAAAAAACTCGCCCTCAGAAGTCACTTAAGGCAGGGCTGACACTGTCCATCTGTCCTGCGACAGGGTCCCACCCTCCCAGGATCATCCCACCCCGCCCCGGGATTATCCCGCCTTCAAGCATCCCCATGGATGGACCCCCCAGACTGGCTCACCCTTGCCCAAGCTGAAGACAAAGGGCTCGTTCCGATCGCGGCTGGAGTCAAATTTTTTACCGTTGGCCAGTTTGCCTTTGTAGTGGACGTAAACCTTGTCCCCAATCATGGGGGACTCATCTTTGCTCCCGGGTCGTTTAATGATCTGAGAGAGAGAAACCACCCATGAGAAGGGACGCTATGGGACAGCTAAGGATGCATATGGAAAGAGAGAGAGATACACAAACATATGCATTTTTATATACACACACACACATGCATGCATATACATAAAAATATATATACACACATCCATATACACCCCAGTGCTGCTCTAAAGCAAAGGGAGGCTGGAGAAGGAGTCATAGAATTTGTCCTCCCATCAGCCCCTAAAAATAAATCCCAAACCTGAGCCACGGTGACAGAGCAAGACAGGGCTGGGAGCAAAGACCTGCCTGTGCTTTGCAGGGGTGTCTGGATTTCCGTGGTTCGAAACCTGAAGTGAATGCAATTACGCTCACTTTCTGTCTGTATGCATTTTACTCGCAGGGGTGTGTCATTTCACTACTCACTTCTTGTCAACACTGTTTTTTGAATGCTACAGCCTGGAACAAGCAGTTCTCGAGCTGAGGATGGCACAGGGGAGGATACTATTCTTAGAGGAAAGGTCCTATTCAACTGGAGAAAAGCAAGCGCTGGGGAGCAGAACTGTCCAGAAATGGCACTGAATATGAAAAAGGGGTTGTGGAGCAGACTGGATGACCTCAGTAATGTGCTCTTTCTAATGTCTGTGAGTCACACACAGAAATGCTTTGTGGATTTACAGCTAATAATCTGATTAGGAACACAATAGCAGTGAAATTCATTGAGCAGCCTGAATCCATCAGTCTCAAACACCACTCCATCCTTCTTTATTCCAAGTGATGCTCATCTCCTTTGCCTTTCAAATAAAAAAAAAAAAAAAAATCAGTCCTACAGCCTTGGAAGTACTACAGGACCCCAAAGGCTGGGGATGCAGCCCACCAACATGACCACGCACCCCAAAATGCAGAAAGGCAAGACCCTCCTGGAAGTCCCCCTCACCTTCAGGACCCCTCGGTCTCGAGCTGGTGTGATGTCCTCCCCACGCTCGGCAAGAGCCACCACCTGCACCTCCCCTTCACTCTTGGTGGCCTCATCAGTGGTCATGGTCTCCTTGCATAAGCCCCGGACCTGCGGAGACACGGCATGCACCCCCTCAGCCTGCCAGGACCACAGGAGGTGGTGTAAGAGGAAAGGGTTAAAGAAAATAAGCAGCTCGCTCTGCTGCGGGCCAGGGCAGGAAACTTTGAGCACATCTCCAGCTGCAGAGTGGAAAATCCCTTCCCAGGGGCCACCCAGGCT